AGGAGAAGAAGAGGAAGAGGAGGAGGCAGAGGAAGAGAAGGAGGTGGAAGAGGAAGAGGAGAAGGAAGAGGAGGCAGAGGAGAAGGAATAGGAGGAAGAAGAGGTGGAGGAAGAGGAAGAAGAAAAGGAAGAGGAGGAGATGGAGGAGGAAGAGAAGGAAGAGGAGGTGGAGGAGGAGGAAGAGGAGGAGGTGGAGGAGGAAGAGGAAGAGGAGAAGGAAGAGGATGTAGAGGAGGAAGAATAAGAGGAGGAAGAAGAGGTGAAGGAGGAGGAAGAAGAGGAGGAGGAGGAGGAGGAAAAACAACTGATATTTAGATATTTAGATTCCGTGGAGGAGTGTCAGGGCACTGACTCAGATTTAGTGAACAGACTTTTAATTACCAGCAAGTCCCTAGTCATTAGAAAACAAGTTAATACATTAAAAAAAATGCACAGCACAATCCATCAACACTAATAGGACTTTGGAATGTATTTGTCCAATGGTCTTTCATTTCATACATCAAGCATAAGGCTCAAAAAACATAAATGACTTCCTCGAAAACCACAAGTTAAATTCAGTAATGGTTTCTTAATTCATTGTCAGATATATTCTGCAATTGATAACAGTTCAACTTGGTGATTAGGAAGGGTCTGGCAGTTACATTTGCTCAGTGATGTTTTCACTTCTGCAACCTGAAGTTACAGACCTTGTAAATACCAAGCTCTGTGTGAAACCCAGGTGTGAGAGATTCAAAAGAACCTAAGACTCTACACTACCTCAACCCAGCAATTCCACCTGTACTCTTGACTATCAAGAGCTGGGACAACTCTGATAAACAGACAGTTGTTTTTATAAATAGCTAGTTTTCCAAAGAAGAAACAGAAATTAGTAAATTCAAGTAAGTCTTATTCTTCAGATGATAACTCATTTTGTCATGCATTTTTATCCAGTCAGCCAATATTTGTTATTAATATTTTGTGTTTAGTCTCTACTGTAGGGTTGTGCACATAGTACAGATAATAGTGAGCAAGAGAAGTAGCTGAAGCAAAAAATAAAAATTAAAAAAAAAAACAAGTGACTAGAATACCTTCAGTGCATTAGAAATGTGACTGAAGTTGCTAAATTGGTGACAGTACTGAGAACGGTCCTATTCTGGGCAGGGTAACATGAGCTATCCCTCTATAAAAGAAAAGAAAAGGACAGCTACATGGGGAGCAGGAAGACGAGCATCTGTGGTGAGTGGACAGGTTGGGGATTTTGTTGTTCCACAGTATACCAACAGCATCAAGGTAGTGAGGACACAGGCTGCATTAATATTTTCCCTATAGATAATGCAAAGACAAATAGAAATGAGTCCAAATGTTGCCCTCAATTTGACCACATAAAAACAGAGTAAACCTCAGCAACAGGAAGGTCGAGGTTAAACCACTACAATATATTCATTCTAAAAACATGTAGAAAACAACGCTCAGGTGAGGGTAAGCAGGACTTGGCTTACTGAGGACAGTTCAACTATGTTCTGTTCCCAGGTGAAGGATCTATAAATACACCAACACCTGGTTTGTCTCTCCCAAGGACAAAAATCACCCTCATATGCTGTGGGGTGTTTGGAAAGGCAAATGTGTTGCTCTGATTGGTTACTAAATATACTAAATAAAACACTGATTGGCCAGTAGTCAGACAGGAGGAAGTATAGGTGGAACAAGGAGGAGAAGAATTCTGGGAAGTGGAAGGCTGAGTCAGAGACACTGCCAGCCGCCGCCATGACAAGTCGCATGTGAAGATGCCGGTAAGCCACGAGCCACATGACAAGGCATAGATTAATAGAAATGGGTTAATTTAAGCTATAAGAACAGTTAGCAAGAAGCCTGCCATGGCCATACAGTTTGTAAGCAATATAAGTCTCTGTGTTTACTTGGTCCGGTCTGAGCGGCTGTAGGACTGGCAGGTGACAAAGATTTGTCCTGACTGTGGGCTAGGCAGGAAAACTCTAGCTACACTAGTATTAAAATTCAATTCAACAATTACTGTTAAATTAGTCAAATGAAAAAAAATGTTCTGTAAATTCTGAGGTGTATTTTATTAGTGTGATCTATATACATAGCAATGGTATCATATTTATTGTATGTAGAATATATCTACACACATCCATATACAGCATTCACATAATGATCAAGACTTTACTAAAGAATTTTTTAAAGAATTAGGCAGCAGTTTACCCTAAGGAAAATGCTTGTGTCTATAAAAATAAAGAAAGAGGCACCTCATATCCTAGCTTTGTGACCAGACACCTGTATGGCCCAGGCTCCTAAGGTCTACTTCACTCCAAATTTCACACTTCTCTCAAAAAATTGGGTTACTTGCTTATAAGCTTATTTATGTGAGGAAACAAGAAATGACTGTTCTGGCATGTTTTTTTTTTTTTTCTATTAAAGAAGCAGCATTTATAGTATAGGGAACACAGTCATTTAGAACACATTTGCCTCTTTTATTCAGAAGTTTATGGCATTTGTTCACATAAGAGAGAAAGGTAAGACAAAGAAACGGTTTCCAAAGCTCTTTAAGTGTCAGACTCTGGAAGCAGACCTGTGTCTAACTGTCCTGCTGCCTGGAACTGTCCCGTTCTGACTATTCAGCTTCACTGGACCTTCCCATGCCTTTGCTCCATCTCGCACACACTGCTGCCCAAACACGGTAAATCACAGTTAACTGCATGTCTTAAATTAAAATACAAAATAATGCACAATTAATTGGGGGGGGAAATTGTCAACTGGTGAATGAGTCTCACTCATTACACTCTATGCATAGGACGTATGCCAACTGCACACTCCTAGCTAGACAACTGACTGGGACAGTGAGAGCACACGGGGCCATCCTCTGCAGATCAGCCTGCACCAAAGAATTGATCACTTTCAAACACCACTGCACTTCTCATACATCTTTCTTTCACTACAAAGAGTGAGATACATACATCCAGAAATGTGCATAATTGTAGGTAATTAGGAAAATAAAAACATCCTTGACAAAGGCTTGAACAGAAATGGTATTTTAGCCAACAATGGAAAAATCCCAGCTGATACAAATGGTTTTGTCATACTTCTTAACATGAATAAACATTAAAGACATGTTCTTTTTGGATAAATACTTATAAAACAGTATGTATCTTTTTTGAGGATATGTAAAAGGAAAGCGAAACAAGATGTACAAAACAGACACAGAGAAAATACACTAAAAGGTTAAAATGTAATTTGAGTTACTCATTTTCCTAAATTTTCTACATTTAAAAAATATCACTTCAGGTTTTAAGACTTCCATCCAATTTATTACTGAATCTGACATAAATGCTAATGTTCTGTTTGTAAATATATATTCCCAAATATAGCATGTTGAGTCCATATAATGATAGCTATATGTATATTTTCAGGGCTAATTGTTTGATATTGGAAAACTGAAAGTTTTAAGAGTCTTTTAAGACAAACTCGCCTTGTTATAAAAATAAAAATAACATCTTAAAATGTAAGACTAATTATAAAGCACATCATACAATTGTATGGTATCTTTAGTTGTGAAAACAAGTAATTATTGACATACTCAACTCAAAATTTAAGGAACAGGCTCAGTTCAGTTAAATGTTTAACACAATAACCTATTTCAACAGATTATCTTACACTAGCAAACTATGATTCAAAAAAAATCACTGTTAAAATGTAAATTCTTTTAAAGTTATTGACAGTGACAAACTACAAAGCTATTACCTTGACTTTGAAGAACTACAAAATTCCTCTCTACCATTCCCCCCTCCATTACTTATTTTCTGTATTTATATCTGTATATTTGCATTTTCTTATTTATATCTAGTTACCTCATATAATCTTGATGCCAAATCTGGCCATAAACAACATGCATGAAATCATGCAAAGTTTTACGATTTATATTAAACTAACTTATCAGGAAAAGTGTTTTATAACATTCATCATTAATCATGCGAACTTAGGCTTCATTTCCTCCTTGGAAGAAAGGAACACATAAAAGCCAGCAAAGTAAATGTGTCCAGTGGTACTCAGCTACCTGACCTTGAAATAAATACCCACTCCCTTCCCTCTTTTATTTATTAGGGGTTGGAATGGGGAAAATAATTAGTTTCCTCAAAAGGTTGCCTCAACCTCAGGCATGTTTACATCCCAAGGGTAATATTTTCATTCCATTCTTAATGGAACAAATTTCTAATCTGAATATGTATTCAAAAATAATTGAGGCAGTGAAGTGTCAACACGTCACACTGCCATCAAGTGTCACCCCCACTGCTGGGAACCAGGGAACCACAGCACACTGTCAGGAGGGAGAGGCCCCAGTTTTGCCTCCTTTGGATTTGCAAAGATGTGAAAGGCCAAGCTTCAAATTTCTAAGAACATCTTTTAAAAGGCCTGCTCTAGGACCTAGAATTTAAATAAGCATTCTCATTTACAGCTGTGAGGAATACCAAAAATAATATTCACTTCTGGTAAGGTTACACTACTTTCCTACATTATTATATCCTTAGAGTAACGTACACTTTTGAACACTGTCCAGCCCAGGATGCCCAAAAGATTTCACTTCATAGCTCTTCAAGTTTAATAAAATGTTTAGACTTCTTGGAGTTGTGTGGTGGGCTATACTATCATTTTGCTTTACATTATTTTCATAATAAAAACTAAGAAAAGAAAAAAAGATTTCCTTGAGTATATTCTATGTTCAAATTTTACTGAGATTTTTGTTTGATGTCATGTGTAAGGAAGATTTTGTTTGATGTCATTATGTAAGGAAGACCAGTAAACAGCCTTCTACTTCATAAAAATCCAGCAATCATTATGTTTTACTTCATCATTTTTCAAAGGATGGAAATAATTTCTTTGTTCCAGAGAAAAAAATTACCATGATCCACCACGATGACAGAAGAACTGCACCTAAACAAAGGCAGAGCCGCCATCTGCCTGGCTTTCTCACAGTGGGACAAATAAACTGTAATTAACTGCTTTCCTACCGAAATCTGCCAGCTTTAACTCCCCCGTGTCACTGATGAGGAGGTTCTGTGGTTTCAGGTCTCTGTGCAGAATATACCGCTGGTGGATGTAAGACAGCCCTCGCAGCAACTGAAATAAAAACAACTGAAAAGACAGGAGGGGGAGGAGAGTTAAAATCCAAACTCAGATAAATGCCAGTTCATATATACAGTCTGCCAAATACATCAGTGAGAATGGGCAACCACCTCTAAATTTCCTACCAATGGTTAAGCAAAATGTGCAATGTTAGCATATCAACCACTAGTTCATCAAGAAGTAAGTTGCAGAATTTCTAAAACTTCATGGTGTCAATCAAGACATGTCCTCAGCCACAGAGCTCTATAATCTACTTTCTATAAGTGACAGAGAATGTGAAAATTAGGGTGATTACAGTTTTATAGTATCAATCTCTCTAGACTAAAATGATGTCTAAGAGAGCAAAGCAATCTATAACACTATAAAAGATAAACATTCTTATTTGAGTCTATAAAAGTCGGTATCCATAGATCCACCCACTAACATGTTTAAGGAATAAAAAGATAACATGATTTGAGACAATGAAAACAAAAGTCACGTGGTCCAATTAATAGCAAATTGCAATCAGGCTGCCTTTATACATATGGCTGTAGAGATTAGCTTTTGCCTGAAGATAGGTGTGTACCTTCACTAATTGCAGAGCTGACCTAGCCTAGCAGAGGCAGCAAAGCTTCAAGAGCAATAGTTTGGATGTGACAAATAACTTATAAAATGACTAGTGGCCTTCGCTTTGGAGTTTCATATCAAACGGATGCTTCTATTTTGATAACAAAAGTATGATTCACTTGGTATGCCAAAGCCCTGCTTGTGAAAAAGTTAGTTTCAAATAACTTGCTAGCCAAAGTCACTCTCACTGACCTAGTATTCAAACAATGAATCTCACTAACAAAAATCAAGCAAACATGCTTTTACATTTATGCACCAACCATATCCTGCTCATAAATCCAGCTAGTATCCAAAGGCTATGCCAAGGAGATCTAACATGAGTTAAAAGACCAAAGCTTGAATCACTCTGAAATATTCAAGTGGAAATGATTAGCAACTCCTTGAGGGCACTGGGAGCTAGCATTTTTGGAATGCTCCCCCTAACCAGGGCTATGAAATCCAAGCACACCTGTCCACTGACATAATATGTTGAAATGACAGTACAATTAGTTTACCTCAAAAAATCTTTATCAGTGATAACTAGACATGGGGAAGAGAAAGCCCTGGCTAACTATTTCCAGAGTGCAAGTGGATAGATGTGGACATCTATTCTGAGATAGAATACATGAGATTTCTGGCTTAAAGACTCAAGAAAGCAAGCATCTTTCCAGAGTTTGCCTCCTCTCAACTCTTCTGATGTCAAAGATGGAAGGAGGTGATAATCACTAGCATCACTCTTCACTTCTAATCCCTCTTTATCCTAGGACTTAAGGCTTATGATTTCTATGAAATTCCTTAGTTCTTTAGTTTAGAAGGAAGCCAAGTAGGTGAATTAAAATGTGACGAGTTTAAATATCTTTAAGAGACACATGTATGTAGACAGCATATATTAAATTTTAAAAATAAACATTTAAAGAAAAATTTGGCATTGCTCAAGATGCTAGGCATTGCTTAGTCACTATAGGACTGAGGATTTGGCTGTTCAACCATGGCAATGCTTCCAACTTGACAGGGATAACACAAAGTACACCCTATCATTATCTCCATCACAGTGATGAGGAAACAGTGTAGTTTCTCAAGATTTCTCAGCAATTAAGTGGAAGAGCCAGGACACAAGCCAAGACTGCTTGATTACCAATCTACTACGGCAACTACAAATAAGGATCAACACATGCAGGCATGCTGATACAGAACTGCTTCCTCAAACTGATAGGACCGCATATGAGCATCCAAGATCATGGCCTCTGAACCTAATGAACTGAACTCTGCTTTCAGCCAGGTGCTGAGTCACTACAGTTTTCTATTCCCTGGCTCTAAGAGATCTTGCCACATCATACTCACAGGCGTGCTGCTTTTCAACTCTGTACCCTGGTCCTTGCTGCCTTCCCTGACTATTTTCCCATCACCTCCCCAGCCCCTCTGCTCTGGATAAAGCACGCCCACTCTATGTTCCCAGTGCAGTTTCTGAACACATCATCCGCAGTACAGAATTTACCCCAGCTCCCACAGACTATCCCTTATGCCTCATCATAAACTGGATACACAGTTGGCATTCTAATGGTATTACCAAATGGATTTAGAGACATCTGGATAGGGACAGATAAAAAAGATCACAGATAGTAAGTCCTGGAATAGGATTCTCAAACAGCTAAGAACAGAAGTGGGCAGATTAAGCAGGACCAAAGGGTTCCTCTTCTAATACCCCCAGTAACTAGAGAAAATATATAATCCTTGTGCTAATCCAGAAGCTATTCAACTAGGATATCATGCTGAAGAAGATTAAAACCAGTATTAGGGAAGGAAGAGATCACACACTCAGCTTTAAATGCACAAAGGCTCTAAAATCTGGGGGCTAACATGATCCCAAAAATACATAAAATCAAGACAGCAAATCTACACTGCCAGGAACCATCATGCAAAGAAAGATTGACAGTTACACGAACAGATTCCTGCCACTTAGGAGAACTTCACACTACAGTTCACACTCAGTATCCTGAAGGTACAAGGAAGGACATCTAGCAATAAAAAAGAAATAGAGCTGACTCCGCTGTTATATGAAGATTACCTGTGAGAAGAAAACAACTCAGGAAATTCACATATTCAGAGTGGTGAATTTCTGGGAAAGGAGACCTGATAGATTAAAGTGGCTTCTAGAAGCTACTAGACTATATCATATGAAAAATGCACAGGAAGCCATGGGTCTTAATTAGGGTTTCTATTGCTGTAATTGAACACCACGACCAAAAGCAACTTGGGGAGGTCATGATTTACTTCAGTTACCAGTTGCATATCACAATTCATCATGAAAGGAAGTCAGAACAAGAACTCAGAGCTTGCTCACTCATGGCTTGCTCAGCCTCCTTTCTCACACAACCCAGGACCACCTGCCTAGGGAGCAGCACCACCCACAGTGGGCTGCACCTTTGCATATCAGTCATTAAGGAGTTGGTCAGGTTTGCTAGGACAATCTTACGGAGGCATTTTCTCAATTAAGAAATGTTCCCAAATGACTGTAGCTAGTGTCACATTGACATGAACTTACCAGAACACAAGGATTCTATTTAATGAAATAGTTAATCAGTCCAAACTTAAAAACTTAGCAGAAATTCCTTTCTCACACAATGAAAATGAACAAGCACTTATATTTCAATGATTTTTGTGACCATAGCAATATCTTAGAGATAAAAAGCAGCATAAAATATCTTGTTATGAATCAAGAAGGGCAATGTGAATTTGTTTTAGAAAGAGATAAAGATACAATCCGAAAGGCTGACAAATAATGAATCAAGTCTAAAATTTTTGGAGAATATTCATCAAAGGAAGCTACACCAAAGAGAAAAAAATAATTTCAAGTGAAATGTAATAATCAAAGACTTGCGAGTTTGGGTAAATCTGACCAATGCATTTCTCTCAATAAGCTCCCAGAGGTGTGTGAAGTAATAGAAATTTACACAGCGATGAGATAATACCTATTATAATACCTGGCTTGTCACACAAAAGCCATGCTTAGCCAAGACCATCAGAAAAGTCCTAAGTAGAGTGTGCAACCCTACTGCACCTGCTCATTTCCCTTATGGGTATCCCCGTCTGTCTTGATAAACATAAGACACTGGTGTCCAGTGCAACATCCAAGGCTGAATGGAAAGAGGTGGGGAGAATAAGATGGCTTAAAGTCTGAATCCCAAGATGACATCTCCCTGTGCCCAATGGGCACTTCCAGTTAGGTGCCTCTGCCTTATAACTACATATAGCATGCCTCCAATGACTGCATCCTATCATCCTTTAAATATGAGTTTTAAAACACTGCAGTTGAGGAATGTACTGATTAATGAGCTGGCCTTGATTCTTCTGGTAGATCCAAGTAGTTAACAAGTATATCAGCAAATGATCCCACTGAATACTGGCCCCACATGCTAATCCTAAAATTCACTGCTTAGCTGTCCCTTGTATGTCTAATACAATATGGACTGATATACACAATTTTATTATAATTTTATCATCAATTCTTTAATTTCTAAACAGGGAATATTTTTTCTTAGGACAAAAATTTTCAGGAGATTCCTGGTCAGACACTAAGAATGGATATAGAATTAAAAAAAAACCCACTATTAAATGGGCTCATGAAAGAAATCATATTTCCTAACATACAGAATTAGGAAAAGCTCTGCAATATTCCTGGCAATGCATCAGAGGGCATCGTTACTAGCTCAATGAGAGCTCTAATGAAGACTGTGGAGAAAATCAGGTGCCATTTGGTTTTCTCTCTAAACATCAGAGTCTCACTTAGGAATCAATTCCCAGTGCCATCTGTAGAAGATGATCTTAATTTGGCATAACATTATTTTATCTGTTCTACACCTGCTTGTTCTCTGAACTATGAAAGAAAGATAGCAACTTTTCAACCATAATAAACCTCATATTTTTATCTGAAATGAAAACCTGGAGTTAGTTTTTATACCAGTAGGATTGCAGATACTTGAGGGAATAAAGCAGCAAGTTCAAAATTACTCTGGTCATTTTTAGTTTTTTTTTTTTTTAAATGGGAAATATAATTTTGCAAAGAATCATCTAGAAAAGTCATTCTACCACAGAAATGGAAATACATTATATAAAACACAGGAAGACTAATCTCATCATGATAATAAGATGCCATCATCTACATCTATGTCTGTCAGCTAGAGACAGCATCAATTAATCATTCCTTTTTTCCCATGAACCTTAATTTCCAGTCTTTCAAGCTTATCAATTTTTAAATACATGAAACCTGAATAAAGGGGAACATTTAAACTGTTTCAGTTGTTTAAAAAATTCAATAGCCAATCTACAACTCACTAATAGGTATAAGATCACAAACTGATACAAGTTTTGTGTGTGATCCAATTGTGACCAAACTCTAATATTCTTTAAATTAGATAGTATTTAAAATGTGGAAAAATAAGTAGTCTCCAAGAAAGCTAAGCAGGTTCCTAAACACCAGTTTTCATGCTGTAGAAAGGGGTTGCTATGTCTTTAATCCTCATAAATATTTATAATAAGGCCTGTCCTCAGGCCTTCACATCGTCCTCTAAGTAACTAATTGCTGAAATCACTCATTTGTCAAAAATGTATATAACGCTTAGAAATGAATTATTAGTTAAGAGTTAATATTTATTTCAGAATGCCATATTAATACCAGACACATTCTGTAGGCACTTAAAGTAGCAGCATGGTTTGGGAAATTTAGTTAGCACTGACTAATTTCCTTTAGCTTATTCTTGTACTTCCCAGAAATGCTACACAAAAATAATAAAACTTCCACAAATATTTTGCCCCAAATTAGTACCAAATTAACTTAAAATGTTTCAGATGCTCCTGCAAAGTCAGAGGCCACAGGGTGGTCCAGCTGCCTTCTTTCTCTCTATTCTCCCTTGATACATTATGTTTGTGGAACTTGAAATCAAGTTCTGCCCAAATCAAACTTAAAAACTGCCTTTAATTCACAAGTTCATTGACTTTATCAATTATATTATATGTTTGTTTATAGGGGGTGTGTGTCAGGGGACAACCGTGGGAGTTTGCTCTCTCCTTATACCACGTGGGTCCTAGGGTAGCAAGGACTTTTATCCATGAAGCCATCTCCCTACTCTGATGTTGACAGTTTATAATAAACAAGTATGTATGAAAGAAAATATGTAAATTTAAGATAAATGTTTAAAATATTTCTGCACACTGTCAAGCTGTATATTGAGAAAACTAGTTGTCAAAACGGACAAATCTGTATGCAAAAGAATTTGATCATTTCACTTTTCTTTTTTTTTAACCATAATAATTATTGAGCATTATCTTATGACTATTTGATGATATCTGGCATGTTTAGCCAAACACTGAGCATTAGATGAGTGAAAAAGACAGCCTTTTAATACATGCTCTCATTGAACTATTTCATTATCATTGTGTGTGATTTGTATGTGAATGTGGGCACATGTGTGTCACAGCATGACTGAGGAAGACAGACTTTGGAATGGGTGCCGTCCTTCCACTGCAGGATCCTGTGACTCTAAGTAGGTCATCAACCCTGTGTGTGACGAGTGCTCTGACCCCCTGAGCCATTGACAGCCCAGGGCAGACTCATTTCACCTGATTTTCAAATCTTCTTAAAACATAGAACTGTTTCAATGTCTTCTTTTTAGCTCAACTGGTTTCCTCTTAATCAATATCTAACACAGCACATGAATAGTTGTTAATTTAGTAAATATTATTGTGTTCTTCACTGTATTCATAGATTTAAGTGACAATAAATACAACCACATGAAAAACTATGTTAACATATCAAACAGGAATACCCATGGGACACCTGTCACTAATGTCATTGTCAGACATCTTTGAGAATAATTTCACCTGCAGTGAAAGTCCTAAATGTTACCATGGAGGAGTGACTTTTCGCTTAGTAAACAGTGAGGAAAAGCCAACATATAAATAGGGGAATGGCTCCCAAGGAAATGGGGCTGTCAGTAACCATGGTCTGCAAGTCACGTGCCAAACCACAGGGTATTCAAACTCACTGTGTCTAGTTTCTAATTATTTGTAACTTCAGAGAAGAGATGACTATCTTCAATATGAAAATGGGAATAAACTCGTGTGACCAGTTGTTTATGATGTCATAATACATCTAACAACAGTAATTTAATGTATTTCATAGCATAGGGAAGTTAATATTGACAAAGGGCCAACTTCCTTTACGAAGTGTCTCACTCAGAAATTCTGATGTTTATTTTCTATGAAATGTGGGTCCTGAAGAGACCACATCTCTGTGATGCTGTCATTATAATGGGCATGAATACAATTAATCCCCAGTCTTCACTTGATGGTTTGCATGTGATACCAGGTTGGAAATAGTTTTGCATCAAAATTTTCAAAATGTTATTCCACCACTATTCACCATCTCCCTTTCGCTGGTATGGTTCTTTCTTCCTTCCTTTTTTTTCTGTTATAATCTGACATTTTATTTTAGTACAATGTTGAAAAAATGTGTCATATAAATTAATAAAACTCTTAAGTATAACAGGAATCTCGTGTATAAATGATTGAATCTTTGCAATGGGGGCAAAATACACAGTTATCAATGTGTGACCATAACAATAAACAAATTCTAGTCACTTTTTTCTTATATTCCTTTAGTTTTTCATGAAAACCTGAAAGTTTTATCATTTACAGTATTGTATAAAATATATGATGTAAAAGCTACCACAAAGTACAGAAAAAAAATCTAAATATTTCTATAGTAAAACTGCTTAATGTTAAAATACCATAATTTCTACCAATTAAAATAACAACTGGTTCTTTTTAATTTGATTTCCTTTATACAAGAGATTTTTTTAAACTTGTAAATGATGATAGAGATGTTAGTCTTAGGCTCAAAAGTACATATGAAGAACGTGAACCCTTGGCTTTTAAATCCCCTTTCCTACCTTCACATTGTCTGGATGGAGTCCTCCAGGGTGCTTGTCCATGTACTGACATAAATCAGTGTGCTGGAAAAAAGAGTGGAAATGTATTAATATCCCTCTGGCTATAGAATGATGAATCAATATTTTTCTACTTCAAAGTCACTATTACCTTCTGGACAAAACAAACACAAGACATGGGGGTGGACTTTAGCATATGCAGTTGCACTCTCCACCACTCCCCATTTTAACCAGAACAGAACCACCTCCACCTTTACGTATGATGTCAAACACATGTATTAAACGGAATACACGTCTATAGTTTGCTCACTGTCAACGTCATCATTGAATATATATTCTGACACATTACAAAACTCCAATCACAAGTTTTCTATGAATGAATTTAAGTTCTTGTTTACTTGATGTGAGTTGGAAACATTTGAAACCATATGATAGTGAAATTAATAATTGGAATTTTTACATGCAAACACACAAATATTTTTTAGTTTAAGAACTGACTATATTTAAATATAAATTATAAATAGATAAAAACATATTCAAAGTAAGAACTTAAAACAGACAGACAGTTATGCATTAAAACAGTAATATGCAGTTATTTTTCAAGTATGAGAAGTTAATATGCCAATAATAGTATCTTTCCTTGACTCACTTTTGTTTATATGGTGAATGGCCCAAAGCTTTCTTAAAGCAGTAGTTCAGTCCAAAGTTTCATTCTCTTATTGTAAGGAATCACATAATTTACAAGACAAAATGTGTGATCAAATGTTTCTGTGTGCATTGGGCCTGGGTGACTGAGGGCATGGAGGTTTTACAAAGCATTCAAGGACTTTGCTGTAACCATCATGTCCACAGTTCAAATTCTGTTCCTGGGACTTGACTGCACAACACATGGCAACTGCTGACGCTACATGACTGAGCATAGCCTCAATCGTCATGATGATCTTTGCTGCCCATATGGTACACTGCACACAGGTCAGTCTCTGAGGAGAGGGGAAGGTATGACAGAGCTACAGATCGGGAGTGCCGGGTTTCACAGCAGCATGGAGAGCAGCCTGTAACAGCACCTGAAAGGATCACTAGCTCAGCAAGGGGCAGAATGTCCTCTCAACACCTCAGAAAGGCTACGGGAGAAGTCAGTTGTGAGAAAGCTTAGCCCGTCCAAGGAAAAATTAAAATGGGGCAGAAGAGCTAGTCCATGTATGTTCTGACATCACTGTCTTTTATCTAGAACCACTCAGGGGATAAGAATCAGTCAAACCAAATGGCAGCCTACAAAATAGGAAAAGATCTTTACCAGCCCCTCATCTGACAGAGGGCTGATCTCCAAAATATATAAAGAACTCAAGAAACTAAACATCAAAATACCAAACAATCCAATTAAAAAAATGGGCTACAGATCTAAACAGAGATTTCTCAACAGAAGAATCTCAAATGGCCACATGCCCCTCAACTGAAGGATGAATAAAGTAAATGTGGTACATTTATTTATACAATGGAGCATTACTCAGTAGTTTAAAAAAAAAAAAAACAATGACATAATGAAATTTGTAGGCAAATGAGTAGAAGTAGAAAAAAGTCATCCTGAGTGAGGTAACCAAACCCAGAAAGACAAACATGGTATGTATTCACTCATAAGTGGATATTAGACTCAAAGCAAAGGATAACCTATAATGAGATTGGTGACTACCCTAATTGTCATCATAGAATCTATATCCAGCAACTGATGGAAGCAGATGCAGGAACCCTGAGCCAAGCATTGGGCCAAGCTCCTGGAGTATGGCTGAAGAGAAGGAGGAGTTATTATAGGAGCAAGAGAAGTCAAGAACATGATGGGGAAAACCACAGAGACAGCTGACCTGAGCTAGTAGGAGCCCACAGACTCTGGATTGATGGCTGGGGAACCTGCATGGGACCAACCTAGGCCCTCTGAATGTGGGTGACAGTTGTGTGGCTTGATCTGTTTGTGGGGCCTCTGGCAGTGGGAGGACTTATCCTGCATACATGAACTGGCTTTTTGGAGCCCATTCCCAATGATGGGATACTCTGCTTAGCCTTGATGCAGTGGGGAGGGAGGAATCGGAAGGATGGGAGGGAGAGGGAACTGTGGTTGGTATGTAAAATGGAAAAAAAAATAAAAAAGAATCAGTCAAACTCCATACTGTTGGAACTGTTTAATTTGAAAATTATGATCTATGAGATCCAGACAGCTGACACATAGAGGACATAAATGTATAGAGTTTTACATATAAGATAAGGTCATTAAAACAAACTTAAATATAATTACAGTGGGCCCATGGGGCTTTTCCTGAGTAACTATATGAAAGTTTTATTTCAAGCATTTAAGCAACTGAGGGATTGACTCTGATCTAAAACTGATAGCTTGTATTATTTACTTTCCCATTCTTTCAAATGTAGCTATGCTACCATCAACTTCAGAAAGGAGCAAATAAGTATTTAAGAACATTTATTTTTAAAGAACAAATAAAATTGTATATGAAAACTTTTAATGTATAAAGTAATATATGCATTGTGTGTATCTGTATCTATGTGTCTGGGTATGTGTGATATAAGATAGATACACAGGACAAGAATGATCCCTAAGTGGCTTAATATCTAACACACAACAAGCAAAATGATGCACAGAAGATATGTCCAACCATACTGACAGTGTCTTCTGCGGTTGGGATGTCTTTTCAGTGTTCCTTCTCACCATAAGACTCCTGTGTTAGGAGTTTGCTTCAAAGGACAGGGTGCTAAACTGTTGAGATTTCAGAGAGGTGGAGTCTAGTGGGAGGTGATCGGGTCACTGTGGGTGTGTCACTAGAAGGGATAAAACTAGTTCTTGTAGGGCCTTGAGAGATTGTGGTTTGTGTTTTCATTTTGTTTGAGACACTATGTAGCCTACACTGGATTTGAGTTAGAAATTCTCTAAAGTGCTGGAATGACAAACACCTGCCCTCATGTCTGGGAGACACAAGCTGTCACAGGAGACACTGAATTCCTCATGGCTTTCAGAATTGCTATATGATCTTCTGTCTCAAATGTGCACCCACCCTGGCCTCATCCATCATGATATAGTGCAGCCAGAGGGGTCCTAGCCAGAGGCAGCACTATGCCATTTGTACTTGCAGCCCCTGAAAGTATGAGATAATAAACCTGTTTTCTGGGTAACACAATGAAGCAAATCAACCTTGGAGAATTGGGCTTCTTTTAAAGTAGAGGACTTGACCAAGATATAATTAACACCGAGAATAAGGGGGGAAAAGGAGACCTGCATATGATGGCATATTATGATATTCCTACCACCTCACTTAGAGTCTAAGGCAGAAGGGTGAACATTGGGAGGCAAGCTTGGACTAGATAGCAATGCCTTCTTTAAAAAGTAAATGAAAAAAATTATGTAAGTCAAAGATGCAGTGATTTTAAAATATACCACAGCAGTAGCACAACAGACCAACTACTACAAACATCATTTATTCCATATATTTGATATCTACATAAAAATTATTTTTTTCTAAAACCAGCTAATTACTACATTTTATTCTATAAATGAGAACTAAAGAGCTATAACCATACCCCCACTGCCAAAGGGAAAAAAAGTAAATTCAGATGACGTTGATGGAAAGTCTTTCAAATGTTAAAGTAAGATATGCAAATTACTGCAGGACACAGGAAAGGATGAGATGCTATCCATCTAGTCTCCAAGGGACAGGGTCAACCCAGACAGAGGTAAGGAAGGGGAAACTAAACTCTACAGTCACAAATATACTTCCACAAATTATCATACCAGGTAACAGGACTCAATACTGAGCTGACCAACTCACAAAGTAAGATCAAACATGAAAACTCCTAGGAATGAAGGAAGAGCTAAGCATCTGTCAATATGCACCTCCAAAATCAACAGGAAAAGGGGTGGGGTGTTGGATGATAAGAAAGAACTCTTATGACATTACCTACACAACACATGATGATTTTGTACTAAAAATATAACAAAGTCTTTGCTCTAACATTGTTTAACTGTTGTGGATTTTATATTACTTCTGAATTGTTTTCATCTTTTAAAAAATAAAGTATTTGTGCATGTTGTTGAAAAAAACAAAGCTGGGAGCAAAAAAAAAAAAAACCATAATAAAAATGAAACAAAAAGTCCTGATTCTCAAGGGAGGCCAATGACCTGCTTAATGTCTGCCCTGTGACCCAGCATCATGACCTGCAGCAGAGAGGTTTCCCAGAGACAAGTTTTAGGAAATGAGATCTTTTCAAGTCAAGCCTTTAAATTTACTTCACATTTTAGACAATATATACCTTTGGTATTTTGATCAAGTCTTTAAATGTTTGACTCCATGTTTCTTTACACACAGGGCACAGGAACACGGTTTATGGGCATGTGTGCAGGGACACCATCCAGATTCAAACAGAGCTGGTGGCAGCTTTGTCACCTTGTGGAGGTCACATCACTTTCATCTGTATAATGACTGACAATCGGCACACTCACCTCAGATTTCCATTTGTGAAAATTAATACTACTTCCAGAATGCCAGTGTGCATTAGATAATAGAGATGATGATGATGATGATGATGATGATCTGTTTTGTGTTTAAATTAGGGAGAAATATGTGGAAGAATTGAAATACAAAATGAGACTAAAAATCTAGTGAGAGGGGAAAAAGCCATTCCTAAGTGGCAGCATTTCCTGGTTCCGAGTGAGGCTTGTCTTCATACACATCCTCTTCACATTACACTGCTCTCTCTGCTCAACCACTAAGAGGGACCCAGCACATACACCACAGACCTCACGTTGTTCTGAGTGATCGGGATCAAGGGTCTGAAGAATCTTGGGTGCAAGAGGGGTAAACAGGAATGCAAAGCCAAACTTGGCTGTCCAGTACAGTACTGGTGTTCCACAAACAATTAACCCACACTAAAAGCTGTTTATTTCACCTTCCTGTTTTATAACGATTTCTTCCTATTACTGTAGTTAAAGAAAAAAAAAAAAAAAAGACAGACTGAGAAACAGCTGCCCTCCCCCTTCCCTTTAAACAGAGCATTCTACCTTGGTCTGAATC